GGGCTGTCTCTCTGGTATGGAATGCCAAATTCTGCTTGAAACTTTTCTTTTAATGCTTTTGGTTTTCATTTGTCACTCCATTTATTCTTAACAAATTCCTTTGCTGGGATTCTATCCCACAGGTTTTCTTGAGGGTTGTGCAATACGATACTTTTATGTCATGAGACCAAAATGTCAAGCACCCTTCTCTGAAAGCTTCTTCTTTTTTTCTTTGAGAGAGAGTGAGAGAGAGGAGGGAGGAAGAAAGCGAATGCGCTTTGCTTCTCTCAATCAATATTATCCATTAAGATCCATGTCTAACAGTACTGAGTCGAAATGAATAACTGAATGAGCTGCCGCCTGCTCTCTTAAACACTTTGAAACAGTAAATGTGCTTTTAAAAGGAGCCATTTGATAATGCAGCTTGATCTAGTTCAACAAACGGTGGCTTCTTTGGATGAGATATGGTACATACTTTCATATGCGGTGGGAATGCGAAAAACTACGAAGATTTTGGAAACTAATCTTTAAAGAATTAAATGATATATGAAAAAGATATATAACTTAATCCTGAGATAGCTCTGTTATCAATATTAGAGAATGTGGAATATGATGACTAGAGAATTGATTATCAATTTATTAACACCAGCTAGATTAATAATAGCTAGGAATTGGAAATCAAAGTCTGAATTTTGAATGGAAGTTTAATAAAAAATAAAAAAAGAAGAAGAAAGGAAACATATCTTCATTTTTCAGTTGGATTAATGATAACAGGGGACTGACTCATACTCAGGGGTGTCAAACACAATAGACCGAATTACATTTGTAGAGCTGTGTCAAATAACTGAGCCCAAGTTAATCTTCACATAAAGAGATCTATGGCTTGCAATCTGCAATATCATTAGATCTAAATACTTGGATTAAAGCCTCATCAATGCTACCAGAGTCACTCAGTGTGTGGATCTACAGGCATTCTTTATAGGCCAAAGATTCATTTAGTCTACCACTGTATCTCCAGCTGTGATTCATAGGAGAAAATGGTACTGGTATTCAGTGAGGTGGAGTGTCACAAAGGTCATTACCATAATAAAAGTGGTGCTGTTAGGTAGGACATCGGGGCCTTGCTTGGCAGAATGAACAGAAAACCCACAAACAAAGCAGAGCTGACCTGCCACATTTTCAGGTAAGGCAGCTGTGAGCAAAGTGCAACTTTGGGGCTGCATGGGGCCCCAAGCACTTTTTGGCAGCCCTTATGTGCCCCCATTGAAAATGTTGTTTTGAGGGGGGGAAACTACTCCTAGTAGGAGTCCCAGTGTGGTGTAGTGGACAGAGTAATGGACTAGGATGCAGGAACACAGGGTTCAACTGGCCATGGAAACTCATGGGACTGGTAAAACCACTCCTTAAATATCTCACCTGTTGGGGTCACTATAAGTTGGTTCTGAGACACACACACAGAGTACTCTATAGGAGAGTTGGTTTTACAATACAACAGGGCTCCAGGACCACAGTTACCCAGTGTAGTGTAATGGATAGAATGAAGGACTAGGACTTAAGAAACCTGGGTATGAATCCCCATTCAGCCATGGAAACTCATCAGAGAGGGTAGGCACTTGTAAAACCACTCCTTAAATATCTGATCTTGGAAGCCTTATTACCATCATTTTAAGTCTGTTCCAACTTGAGAATACATGAAACACATACACCACAACTCTAGGATCACTCAATACATAACTCTCCAAAATGAAACTGGAAATGGACTTCCAGAAACATTTGATTTTGACTTTTCGTATATTGTTTTCAATGGGGAGGGTGGTGAGCTGGCATGGCCTGGTGAATACTGGTGGCAGAAAATTGTCCCGGACCTCTATCAAGTTCTCCACTCCTGAAGTAAGAGAAGAAGGTAAGGATGCCAACTAGGGTTAGCATAAGGTACCAGCTGGAGACCCAGAGAACTGCTATGCCTCCTAGATCTCCAGGCAGGGAGGCAAATCTCAGGGTGAGTGGCACTGGAAGAGGAGAACATTAATTTGCATGTACACAGTGGCTTTAAATCCTGCACAATTATGAATATTCTTTCCCAGTTGTTGCTTCATCTCTATGACATCACAAGGGCCCATCATGTGACATCAAAAAGCCCTGCCCAGGCTCCACCCCCTGGTTTTAGATTTGGCTGTAAGTATCAGGATGGGAATGCTGCTGACCAACAACTCTGAAGGGAACTTTGTCGTTGAGATTTGATGCCTTGAGATGGTAAGATAGCCTCTGGAGAATTCCCAAGCTGCCACAGGAAATCTCACCTGCAGTGGGAGAAGAAGCCACTCCCTCACATGTGCAAAATCTCTTTAGCCTGAAATTTAGTACATGCTCACGTGTACTAATCATAAAGGAAGAGACTAATTATTGCTCACAGACAAGAGTCCCTTCAAATTTTAATCATCCACGCAATAATTCATCAGTTATAATCTTTTAACTTTTATGCATTTACAGAATGTCACAAATATCAGCCTTGCATGGGCATAAATTCTCAGACAAACAAAAGAGAAAATGTTTGTCTCACAGCTAAGAAGATTAGAAAGACAGATTGAGAGACAGTGCTTGTTTTGTAGGGCTGTGATGAGCACTTAGAAAACTTCTTGTTCTCAGAGTGCTCTCATGCTGAGAATCCTCACCAAATTGTTCCTCTGAATCAGTGAGATTTCCTGGTTTCCTGCAAATATGAGATCCGGTCTTGTTTTCCTTCTTCAATGTCTTCATTTTGCACTTGTTCTGCACAGGAAGCTGTCAAATTAAAACTGTTAAATTCATCACAGAAATTATTCTATTATGTATAGGAATTGTAACATTCCTCTAGAATTTGGCATTTCTAGTATCATTTTCAAGTGAATTATATATGGAAAAGATGACCATCTACACAGAATTGTAACAATATTGCACAGCTTGGCATGTTTTTCAGAAAAAGTGACCACAACATTTTTCAGAGAGGGAAAGATCATTCCAAGAAATCTTGCTGTGAGGAGAAAAAAGGATATCCCCCCCCTTTGGTTCTTTTCTGAGAACAAGAGGCCAGATCCACATCTCTCCAAGTTTCTTATTTGGTGTATTCGCGAAGGCTTTCACGGCCTCCCCCCCACCGGTTCTTTTCTGAGAACAAGAACCAAGTTTCTTATTTGGTGTATTCACGAAGGCTTTCACGGCCAGGATCTAATGGTTGTTGTGGGTTTTTCAGGCTCTTTGGCCATGTTCTGAAGGTTGTTCTTCCTAACATTTTGCCAGTCTCTGTGGCCGGCATCTTCAGAGGACAGCACTCTGTGCTCTGGTTTCTTATTTGGCATGCAAAGATTGGAAGAGCCATTATGAAAAGGCCAGCCTTTATAGCCTTGGTCAAACTGCACAATCCCAGATTGCCATCAGAAGAAGGGATTGGCAGACCACTTCTAAGTAGTTTAGTGAACCCTGGCTATGGTCACCTCAAGTCAACCTGATGACACATAATTGATATTAGATTAAATACTGATAGCCATGTGTCATGAACCTAAAATTTTCCTTAAAAATAATTAGAGATGGGGATGACTCACTGTTTTGGCAAGTTCTCCCACTTTGTGAGTTGTCAAAAGTTGATGTATCCCACTTTGTGAGTTGTCAAAAGCTGATGACTCATGAAGCATGAAGTTGCCCCCATGTAGCAACAAATAACGAAGTTATTCGTCGATTTGTCGGGGGGGGTTATTAAAAAAATAATAACCCTTAGCCTGCCTTAAGGGAATTGAGGCTGCCCTTTGCAAAGATGACAGCCATGGCTTCCCTGCAGCTTCCTTACCCTAAATGAAGCTGCAACCGCCATCTTTGCAAAGGGCAGACAATCTCCCTTTTTACATGCTGTGGCTGGGAGGCCAGATGGAGACCTCGGCAGTGGCAATTAAGATAAGGGGGTGTCGGTGGGGGCTAAGGTAGGGAGAGGAAGGGGGTGGGGGTGGGCTGTGGGGGTGGCTGGCTGTGAGGGTGGGTGGATGTCTTTTGACCACAGTTGATTGGCGGTCGGTAGGCAGAATGGTATTTTGGGGTTGGTTTGTTTTTTGTAATAGAAAGGACAAATAAAAACAGGTAAATATGTGTCTCTTCATATTTGTGGGGGTCTCTGGGAGCCACAGATATGAAGGGACAAATATTTAATGAATCGGCTATTTTGTTGAAAAAGCTGATCCCTTTTTATATTCATGCCCATCGTTAATAATAATAATTGTATGCTATACATCGATTCTTCTGGGGCACCCTGGGACTGTGCAACTTGCCCAAGGCCACACAAACTGGCTCTTCCCCTGGAAGGCACAGTGGGAGATCAAACTCTCAATCACAGTTTAAATACCTAAACTGCTGAGCCAATTACTACACAACTAACTGCAGTTTCATAGGTAATATGGCTCAGTATCCTATTGAAAAGCTACTTCATAATTCTCTGCTACACTTTTTCAAAAGAGCACTGGATTAACAATGATACATCTAGGCAGGTGGTACCTTTTTGCTTTTGCAGCACCAGAGAAACATCTCCTCTACTTTCTCCTAGTTGTCACTTCATGCCTTGGCTCAGGAAAACACAGCTCTCAATTTATCACAGCCTGAGAAGTTTCAGAACAATAAATGCCATTTCAGTTTAGCTAACTGGGGGTTGGAGTGGGGACTATATTACTGCCCAGGAGGGATATTCCAGCCTATTTGCATGCATTTAAGGTTTTTACCACAGGGATGTGGTGGCACTGTGGGTTAAACCGCAGAAGCCTCTGTGCTGCAAGGTCAGAAGACCAGCAATCGTAAGATCAAATCCATGTGACGTAGTGAGCTCCCGTCACTTGTCCCAGCTCCTGCCAACCTAGCAGTTCGAAAGCATGTAAATGTAAGTCAATAAATAGGTACCACCATGGCAGGAAGGTAACAGCACTCCGTGTATAGTCGCGCTGGCCACGTGACCATGGAAACTGTCTATGGACAAACGCTGGCTCTACAGCTTGGAGACAGGGATGAGCACCACACCCTAGAGTTGGACATGACTGGACTAAATGTCAAGGGGAACCTTTACCTTTACCTAAGGTTTTTGCCAATGCATGAGTTTGCAACTTGCTTTCACATCAACTGAATGTTTCAGCCAGTTGTGATTTGTGTGATTATGTATCAGATGCACCATTTGACATTTACTAGATCAATACTAGAGATTGGCATGAATCACTTCATGCCAGGTCATCATAAGCTATCATCACAGCACCCCAGGTGCCATGCATTCCCTTCTCCTACCCACCTTCAGCTGGCTTCCCCATTTACAAGTTGACACACACTGCTCGGTTCTCTTCTTGTTGCATGATCTTCCAGTCCTGGTAGGAGCATAGACTTCCCCTCTCTGCCTCCTCCAGCAATTGCCCATTCAGATAAGTAGGTGGGGCAGAGATTCCTGCACCACTGCCTTTGAGTGGGTCGAGGTGCGTAAGAGGAAAAAAAAAACACCACTCAGCACCTGGGGTGCCATGCTGACACTTTAGGACAACCCAACACAAAACAATTCATGCCCATCTGTAGTCAATATCACATTCTTCTAACAATCTCTCTCTCTGTACCTGTGAATATTGCTTACCTTTTTCACATGACTAATTTCAACTGAATGTGTAGAGACAAAACAAAAAGACTGTTGAGAAATGGATACATTACAGTATAATTCTTTATCTATTTAAAGGCTTTTTTACTCTACTGTTCAGCTGGAGAAGGGGAAAAATCTTATCAGAATGGCTTGTAGAGAAATTGGACAGGCTTGTAGTTTTACAAACAGAACACAAAAACAAAAAGTGATTTGCAGGCACAAGGAAGGAGGAGAAAGACACAAACATAGACACTGAATCTTCAGTTTAAAAACTCTTGTAATAACCAAGTGGAGTGCATACAATTCAGGCAAAGGAATCAAATGTTGCTGGTGATTCAGCTAGGTAATAATGATTTGTTTAAAAATTACTCACAGGATTGGCTGTGGCTAGCTGATCAAAAAGGCTCAAACATTTCCAATGCATCTAGTTTGTAAACATCCAACAACTCGTGTAATTTTGTGCAAGTGTGCAATTTGCACAAAAAAATCATTCTGATGAATGTGAGACTTCTCCTAAATAATGGAAGACAAAATTTCACAGACAAACAAGGCAGAAAAGAATAGTGGTTTCTCATTCTAGCTTATAGGAACAAATGAGGTTTTCCATCCACAAGCACAGCCAAAGGAGGTATCTGTTCCCCCTCACCCTTTGCTGCCTGGTTGCATGGATGTAGAATGGCCTGATGGAGGTGGCTTTTCAACAAACCTCGTGGTAGCCTTGCTTCTCTCCTTCGGCAGATTGATGTAATGCCTGCTGCCAAGACACAGTTTATGGAAAGAACACTCTAATAGTGGAGGCTTCCCAGAGGAGCTGGTGGTGGGCCTGATGTCCTCTACTCTCTCTTCCCTAACTCCAGTATTAAACGTCATCATTGTCCAATTGCTCATTGTGGAAAGCATCTGTTCCCACAACATGATGACAAACTTCTTTCTCCCCATTATGCACCTGAAGGCTTTTCCACGCTTGATATATGTTGTATTAATTTACTCTGATATAACACTGGCTATTGATGTTGGTAAACTGATGGTAACAAGTTCTCCTTGGGAGAAAAACTTAATAGAATTTTAATCTCAGAATGGATCTGACTGTATTTATTATTGACAGCTACTCTTACACATTCAGGAACATATGCTATCTTGATAGAACGGAATGGAACAGAAGCAACAAACAGAAATTGTGCAGAGCCAGCGTTTCTGAGATTCTCCATCCTGGTCTTGGGACAGAAACAGTTTTGGTCACCATGATGGATGACCTACACTGGGAATTGGATAGGAAGAGTGTGTCCCTGCTGGTGTTGCTGGACCTCTCAGCAGCTTTTGATATCATAAACCCTGATTTGCTTCTGTGCTATCTCTCTAGGATGGGACTTGGTTTTACAGTGACTCTGATCCTTCCTGCAGGGGAGAATCCAGGCGGTGCTGGGAGACTCCCGTATGACACCTTGTCTTTGGTGTTTGTTGTTGCTCAGGAGTCTGACTTGTCCCTCATGCTGTTTAAGATATGCAGTGCCTGAAACCACTGGCAGAGATTGTCTTGTGTTTTAGAGTTTCTGTTTTTTCCGCCTAACTCTCAGGAAGGTGTGTCTGTCTTTCTAATAGACTGAATGAAGGCAAACAGACTGAAACTGAATCCAAAGGCAGTCTAAGTGTACAATTCAACAAAGAAGAAGTCAAGGAAGATGCTGGCAGGGGACTAGAGCTGTTCTCCAATGTCTTTGTTCTTTCCAACAATATTCCATTTCTAACAACCTTCATAGGCCACAACTGAAGTTTATAAACACTTTTTCACAAGTCTTCCTCATAGGAGCACTTAATAATGAGGAGGTTATTATTCATGTATATTATATCCATAGATTGGGGACACACCAAGTAGCCACCAGCCAAGGCTGTGTTTTCAGCCACCAGCACCCTGCAGACTTGGAAGGCAACTCTATCTCATCCTCCAACTTGGCAGATAGGCTCCCATCTAATAAGGTAGGAATAGTACAGCATTTTCTCCTGAGAATCCAGGATCTAAAGAGGTGGTTTTCTACTTGATGCCATTTGGAATAGGAGATTCTTTAGAAAAGGATCTCTCCCAGAGTTTGGAAACATTAGTTCTTAGATTAAATATCCCAAGATTAACTAGCCAGTATGGCCATGGCTCAACATGTTGACTTTTCTGGAAGCTCTGAAGGACTGTCAGTCCAAAAATAGAAATGTAAAACTCCAAAATGATGAAATTTACAGGAACATATTTCTTTAGAAGGAAATTATGATGGGTTGTAATGAAGTATGGCAACTTCTGCCCAAAGTTATGTGGCTGTATGGAAGATACATACTATAACAAACTCAAATAGTGAACTGTGATGGATATGTAGCCCAAAGAGAAGCTATTGAGGAGTTAAAAGGACATAACCAGAATGTCTTCAGGAACCCCAGCATTTGCAGAACTAGATCTCGGAGAGGGCTTCTTCCCATATCCCCACCTCAACTGCAATGACACTGAAGACTGAGCAAGCTCACAGAAAGCGAAGTGCTTGATGTGGGAAGGAGAAATGGAGCGAAACATCCGAACAAAATACTGTAACACAACTGGTTGACTGGCTAGCTGGAACACTAAAGAGAAATGCTCCACACTGTAATATTTTGCAGTATATTTTTCCAAAGGAAAGAAAGAAAGATACTCCTCAATGAGCAATGTCTTTTCTTCAAAAGATAGGTGAAACAAGCAATTAGTGTACAGTGGTGCCTCGCATTACGACGTTAATTCGTTCCAGAGAAATCACTGTAGAACGAAAATGTCATAATGTGAAAATAAAAAGCCCATTGAAACGCATTAAAACCCGTTTAATACATTCCAATGGGCTGGAAACTCACCATCCAGCAAAGATCCGTAGGGCGGCCATTTTTGGTGCCTGTGCAGTGAGGAATCCGTCCCAGAAAACAGCGGAAAGCCATTTTATTTACCCAATAGCCATTTTGAAACCGCTGATCAGCTGGAGGAAAATCATCATTTTGCGAAGTATCAGTTCCCGAAGCAGGGAACCGATCATTGCAAAGAGAAAAAACCCATTCAGGCCATTGTTTTGTGATCGCAATTGCGATTGCAAAAAAGATCGTTGTAATGTGGTTTCATCGTAATGCAGGGCAATCGTAAAGCAAGGCATCACTGTATTGTTGACTACTGTTGAAATGCAAATCACAGCACCATATTTTGGAAATAAACTACAAGTGGAGAAAAAACAGGTCTTTAAAAACAACAATGGATCAAGCACTTCACTAAATGCCGGTCCTTTCACTAAAGCTGACACAGTCCTTCAGAAGGTGATGTAACTATATCAACAAATCTAATGCCTTTTAGCTTAATTGGCTTGTAGGCTAGGCTGTGATGCTTTCTGTTATCTCTTGAGGATGAGTTATAGGATGGACTACATGAGCTGCAGTGAAAAGATACTTGGTTCAATTTTTGGCTTTTCTAAGTAGTCATCCTGGTTTCTTTAGATACCCTACACTTGTCTTTGTTGTTGAAATTATTTGTGATTGTGTTTTCAGTATCTCACCTTTGGGAAACTCACATCTGTCATGAATGTCCTCCTTGTGGAATATTTCTGACCCTGGGATCTCACCTAGTAATTCCTTAAACTTAGTTAAATCAGTTTTTGTAAATCACAGAGTGTGCATCCAGATAGCACATGTCAGTATAGCAAACCCCAACAGAATGCATCTACTTCCAACACAGTTTCCCAGTTCTTCTATATCACTGACCATTTCTTTCCTGGCTTAATAAAAGGCATTTCCTACCTATCTGAACCTGACATGTGTACAGAAAGACTGAAGGACAAATGAATGTTAAGGTGGTACACTAACCCTAACAGGTGCAATATCTAAAAAAGTGAAAATCATTTTCAATGCCCTTATAGTTCTTTTCCGCAGACCTTGATATAATCTGTCCATTTTCTTATTTGTGCTATTACACCAGAGAGGAGTGAAAATGTGTTTTTCTTCTTTGAATTAAAGGGTGTTTTCTTTATCCTAGAGAGATGGTAAAAGCGTATCAAATTATGTTCTGAATCATCAGAGTACAGCAGATCAGTATCTCTGTATGAAATTGCATGTCTATCCAATAGTATTACACCGGCTTTCAGTCAAGACATAAATTCATGGCATTGCTGGCTCTAAATAGAAAGCTTATTGGACCCTAAATTGCAAGTGAACTATGTATGAGACAATTTCAATACTAATGAGCTCTGTTTGCCGTACAGGACTGGAATGTTCATTATACAGTGTAGTTCCTATTGTAAAGCAGGACTCTGTCCTCAGTGCATTCTTTGAAATTTCATTAACCTTAAAAATGGGAAAGATGGAGATGAATGCAACACAGAGCACATTCCCAAGCTTTGCAGGAGAACAATGGGGACAAACAGTAGCCAAATAAGTGCTATGACTCTCCTAGCCATTCCCAGTAGGGCTATGCATCAGCATCAAGCAAATACAGAATGCTAAACTGAATTGACCTGACGGGGCTGATTTGTATAAAGTCTTGATTAAAGCAGAATGGGCAGGTTGGGTTCTGGGGCAAAAGGAAGACTATTTGGATTGATGTGGTCATTCATATGTCTAAAGTTGATGGGGAGATCCAGACTGCAAAGAGGGATTATGTGAATAAGTGACCAGATAGGAAGGAGGGAAGCTGAGCTTTTCTTAGTGACAGTTGTAACACACAATCTGAGGCCAGAATGTCAATTCAATCACAATGCTTTCAGGGAGCAAACTTTACAGCTGTTCACTAAAAGGTAAAGGTAAAGGTTCCCCTTGACAATTTTTGCCCAGTCGTGTTCAACTCTAGGGGGCGGTGCTCATCCCCGTTTCCAAGCCATAGAGACAGCGTTTTGTCCGAAGGCAAACTCTCGTGGTCACATGGCCCGTGCGACTTAGACATGGAACACTGTTACCTTCCCACCGAGGTGGTTCCTATTTATCTACTTGCATTTGCATGCTTTCGAACCGCTAGGTTGGCGGGAGCTGGGACAAGCGACGGGCACTCACTCCGTCGCGTGGATTCGATCTTACGACTGCTGGTCTTCTGACCCTGCAGCACAGGCTTCTGTGGTTTAGCCCACAGTGCCACCACGTCCCTCATACAGCTGCTCACTACTCAAATGCTAAAGCTAGTTGACTGAAATTTGGCCCAGTTTACTTCTCTCATTGGGTTGTATCACCTCTCCAAATTTCATATTCATTGGTGTAAAATGCAAAAAACAAACAAAAAACCCACAAACCACCAAAAAACAAAAACATACACACACACACACACACACACACAAACAAACAAAAAAAGCAAAGCCATTTCAGTTTTCTGATATAAGTCAATGATCGGGGGCTGGCAATGTGAATTTATAAATCTGTTGAGATTCAGACCACAAATCAAAGCAGGTGGGACCTGGATTGCTGCCAACCAAATCAGGAACTATTTCAAAGTGCAGACTTACAGGATCAGTGAAAGCCCTAATTACCATTACCTCTCTGATCTAGAAACAAAGGCAGAAATAGGTATCTGGGCATGGATTGCCTTTGTCAGTGAAGGCACTAAAGAAATGCAGAAATCCAGCCCCTATGATGCAGTAAGTGCCAACCACTATTTCTTTGGTGGGGATGCAAATTCTTGTCTGAGATCAGTTGAATTCTTGACTGATTCATTCCTCCCCCACCCACCCTAAACATGTGGACAAAGTGTTCCTCCCCCTCCCTTCCTTCCTTCTGAGAAATGGTCCCATGAAATTCCATCTCTGTCCTTGTTACCTTAAAATCAAACTCATTTCCTTACTATGTGTGTGAAGGAAATTTACTGTGACTATGCATGTAATTCTAAAGAAGAGCTACTAAGGCCTTGAATATCTGAGAAAAATGGCCCATTTGGTCCCTCCAATAAAAGTGAATAGGTGACTTTTATTCTTCTTCATTGGATAATGACAAATACCCTGAAGAGCCAACTAGAGCAGCATCTATAACCAAACAATCTGAATCACCTGAGATAAAACCTGAAACTTATTTATTTTCCAAGTTTGCAGACTGCATTTTAAAACTTACTTTAAACAAGAATGCCTGGCCTCAAGATTTGGCCATGATGATTTTAAAGACTTCTCTGTCTCTTCTGTTCCTTCCTACCTCAGCACTGTCCAGCAGGACTCAAAAACCTACCTGTGTGAGAGTGGTCAAATAGTGATATCACGTGTGATGCTCATAGGTCAATGGGCATTCAGCCAGAGAGTTGAACCAGCACTTATCTACCACTTTTGTGCTGGATCGAGTCCTTAGACCTCAGCAGTGCATAGCATAAGCCCTTTGAACAAGTCTGACCTAAAAAGAACACTTTGCACTGGCCTTTGTTATTCCTTAGAACTCAAAACCGCTCAGTTAGGTAGGACTCTTAAATGATAGCAAGTCTGTGGCCCTCTTCACCACTGGAATTAGCCAGGCCCTGCTGTTCAAGAGGCCAGTCCTCCGTAAGGATTTTTAATAATTAATTTTTATTCAAAAAATAAAGATTCATTACAAATCAGTTTATATTGCATAAGAATCAGCATTAAGAACATATTCAAAGATCATTGCAGTTAAATAACTATTTCCCATTTAAAATAATAAACTCTAAAAGCTAATCTAGGGTAGGGTATAGTGGGCTAGCTCCTCTCTTCTTCTTTCTCCTTACTTACATCCTCTCTCTTTCATGGAACAACACAAAAGCATCATCAATATTCATCCATCATCAGTAAGCATCAGTAAGCATTAATTCACATAACCCATCGTCCATTTTTCTAGCTTTCTTAACTCCTCCCTTCTTCATGGCCCATCTGGCTGTTAACCAATTAAACTTAAGAGGTTGTACCACCTTTCTCCGTCTCTAATTCCCATAAGAGTGCAAGTGTTGTTTATGTCTTCTGCAACAAGCTTGGAATGTTGAGTCTGCCACGCCTCCTCGATTTGGCCTTCAAGTT